GAGCTGGCCTCAAGGGTGCAGTTGCTGTGCAGGTTAAAGGGAGGCAGGAATATTAGATAGCCGTCACATAGGCATCTAGGTGGACTGTCCTGTCATCAGATGAGTCGTATCTCCCTGATAACCTCACACGCACAGGAGAAGCTGCGAAAGACATCGTGGCTCATATAGATTAATAAAATGCATAGTGACATACCTCCTCCCTCAAAGCCTTGGTGCTAACGCTCGAGTTCACAAAGGAGGTTCTTACTGCCTTGATGACGCCCCAAAAGCGATTGCTTGAGTTAGTAGTGGCGCACTGAAGAAATAAAGCGCAAAAATCGACATACTCATAGTAACTTACCCACAAAGCAGTCACTTCGCATATCAAACGCGAACAAGCAAATAATGCGTAAACTAAAACGACCTGCTAGGTCATCGTGGTCAATGCTTCTACTATTAATTGCAGCAAAGGTTAATTTAGTATATGCTTTAAAGCGAGATGGGGAAATAGCGAATTCTTAATTAAAATAATAAGCAGGTACTGTGTTGAGGGTTAGATAATGCTCTTGGTAGTATGCTAAGGAGATTCATATGTATGGCTGCCTTTAGCAATAATCAACGATAAAGTAAGGTTTCTCAAAAGGAGATCAGTATCGCACATTTATAAACATACAAAAGGGAGCCTGGGATGGTCGACAGCCTAGCGACAAAACGTTGGACTACTTAATTTTCTACAGCAGTAGAAACGGGTTTGAACCCCAAGTCTCGCAAAAGTGGATTGGGTATAGATTGAGCACCAAGACCCAACACAAGTTGCACGTCCCCTAACCTGGTCGGCGAGCGCCACCCTATCATATTTCTTAGATCTGGCCTAACGACAGCGCGCATGATTATTTAACAGGACCAGGTCGACGAATAAATAGGGCTTAAGAGTCAGGAGTCAAAAACACCTAACCTTCGAGCCTTTGCCGTTTTGCAGCACCCAGTGCCTCACACCCACTTTTGGTATCCTCAGTTCATCTAAGTGCAAAAAGCTCTAATTTCCCGGCGGTTTCTCAACATAGGAAAAACGTATCGAAGACGATTATGTGGGTACCCAAAGATTTTTTTACTTTTATGGGCTTTCTGTTCGCACAGAAGTCCACCTTCAGAGACGACAACAGCAAAAGAAGCGGTCGTTATGGGGAGGGTAGCGAGTCTTGAGAAGACCGCACAGAACCCTGTATGCGGCTCCAAATCAGCTGTCTAAGTTCTTATCCAAGACCCAGATGTGAGCGAATATATTATGCCTTTGCATACGCGATCCGAGCATGCGTTCAGATTGTATTGCTGTTTGGATTGGCTTATAAATGCCTTCGAATATCCATTGTGCATAAATTGGTCGCGGAGACATTGCACTTCTAGTGATTTTTCTTTCGAGCTGCTGCAATGAGTCCGAATCTGTTCGATGAGTGTTTTCACAAAGCTTTTTTTAGCTGTCGGATGATTGTTTTGAAGTGACAAAATGTATAGATTTCGCTATCTCATAATAAACTGTCCTCTCGATTCCAATGTTAGGACTATGTCTGAACACCACATTAAGGAAAAACAACTGCTGTCCATTTTCTTATTTCTTTAAGTGTATATCAGGGAAATTCCACAGCATGTTAACCCTAAGATAATAAACATGTAACCAAAGATAGGCTCGTGCCAGATGGAAGCAGTCCTTTTTATCTCCCAGAAAACTATTTCCGCCACTAAATCGGAGAAGGGGAAGCCCGTCGGAGTTCCCTTGATCAGCTAATGGATTCCTCCAACAAAGGCGATGCGAGGTTTTAGGTAGAATCCTAACAGCCTCACGAGGTGCTCAATTTTGAGTAGACTCTGAGTTTCGTTGTTTGTCTTTTCGATACACTTACGCTGGAATACTTGCGCCAAATTCGGTGTTATGAATGCTAATAATGACGTCACGTTGAACGAGACTACGATTCAACGCGATCGCATCCTCTGACCTCAGACGGCTATGAGGAATTAGAAGCCTGATAGGAATGAGATAATCGACGTTCCTTGAAGAAAATTCACCGTAAAGCACATTTGGTTCATCAAATTATGGGTATGGCCGCCTTTTAAGGCAGCCACGCAGTAAATACGTTTCAGAAGTGACAGGGTTTATTGCTGCGTTGTTGTATTGTGTTGAAAATGCACACTGGCCAGAAGCTGTCATATGCAGCAGTGTTATTAAAATAAATCCCACAAAGCGATCTGGGGTACTTTCGAGTCCTGTGACTGAATTGGTTTGGCAGTTATACGGATCGAGCATTCTCGAACATAAGATGGTTTTTCGACTGCTCAAACCATAGAACTTAGTCGTGATTATCGCTCCTTCGGCGTC